TTTTTGCAAGTCAAATAATGCAAAGCCTACTCAGTTTAGGTGAAATACAATTTTTCCACCCAAATGTTGAAAATATCTCGAGTCTGGTGACATTGGAACATATTTTTTTGGAGATGACACATCAAACTCCAAGCCCAAGAAAAGCAATACGCGGTCGTTTGTCGTTTCTAGAACCAGATATAATATAGCACTTTCTAGTGATGATTTTCTGTAAGTCTTTTAAAAAAAATTGTCAGTATTCAGTATGTAATTTATAAATATGTTCTGTCTCTACATTGAAGTAGTTTGCATTTTACATACTGTGTTGTGTTTTTATCCTCTAGATCTGATCCACAAACCTCTGAGATCAGTCTCTCATAGTTTAATCTCGTAGTGTATCTTTAGGTGACCTAGGAAGAGGAGGCCTTGCTGTTCTATTCTTAGCATGTTAGGATATGTTTATACTTTTTTTGTAAAAGTAAACAAGTTGCTAAGAGTTCTTCCCCAAATAATATGAGGCATGTGTGTCACAGTGGTGACTATGTGATGTTTGACATGATGGCTAAAATAGCCTGGTGCTGAAATAAGGTGAAAAGAATGGATAGGAAGATGTTTAAAAAGGATTTCAACCTTCAGTATTCAGAACTTGAGATTTGGTAAATTCTTTGAAATAGGAATGTCTCCTACTACAGTGTCATCTGTTCTCCAAGAGCCTTGGAGACCTGGTGTGTTGTGAAAGCAGAGTAGTCATTTTGAAACTGAAGAACAGCAGAAAGACCTGCCCGAGTGGTTCTGATTGGAAAGGATGTCAGCTCATTGAAGAGGGTATGAAAAAGGCTTCCAACAAGGAGTATGCTGTGGCTTCACCGGGAACTAAATCTGAAGGCATAGAAATTATGCAGATGGGCTACATAATCATTTGGTAACAGAAGGAAGCCAACTCATGTCCTGTGTTTCAACTTTTATCTCAGATCCTTTCTTCCCCAAAAGCACAGTTGTTGCCTGGAATGGCTGTTGAAGGTACGCAGGTAACTCTGCTTGCTCTCTATCAGATTTTGCCTGTTGCCTTTCCTTGTGAGTGATCATGAAAGAACATTATCAAACTGCCACATACTTGAGCTGATCTGAAATTTCTAGCTTACTTGTTAAATATATTATCTAACTCAAATTGAGACGAGTTGATATCTTTGTAATAAAATTGTACTAGAATTTGGTGAATGTTGTATCAATTAAGTTTGTTATGGAAAATTATGAAAAAGCCTCATATACTCCCTGTTCCTCTCATGCATCCAGCACAGGGTGTGCTCCTGTAAGTGATCAGTAAATTACTCCAGTGCAGTTTTTTTTTTTCTAAAGATTATTTCATTTTCCAGAACTGTTCACATTTATACTGGTTTTCAGTTTCATGTATTATACTCAGATTTGGTTCAAGTTTTGATTTTACTCATTGACAAGCTTGTCAGACTTCCTTCTGTGCATTTAGTATATGTAATGACTGAGAAGATAATTTATACAAATAATTCTAAAATACAGAAACTTTCACTATTAATTTTTTAATCTGTAAGTGGCATTGTCAACACTCATCAATGCTGAATGTTTCTAACTTTGTATTTTCTGCTATTATTTTCTGCCTTTTGGGCGTACTTTAATCACATGACCAGTTGCAAAAAGCAGTAACATAATTGAATTATCAAATCAATGTGAAATAATACACAGTCACAGAAGATTACATTTTTTGCCAATGCATTTCCTTGTTAACTGGTCCATAATCCTAGAAGACACTCAAACACTAAAAGAAAATTTAAAAAGTTTTCACTTGCATCTGTTTGTTCCATATCCCGTATGATGGGTAAATAACTGCCTGTGGAAGTGGCTAGTGTCAGCATGAAGCCATAGCTGACAAATATTTTTCCTTTTATCAAACACATTCCCAGGCTTCCCAATACTTTTCCATCTCCGCTTAGTGCCAAGCCATAACCTAGATGGACCCAAAAATGTATTGTAATGCCTCCAGGCCAGCGCTCTTAGAGTCCAAATTACAATCTCGACTGGCCATTAATAAAATATGCATGATTATGAAGTGAAAAGCTGCTTCCCAAATGAAACACTGTGATTTCAGAACACAAATGTCTGAGCCACTTCAGCTGTCTTTTAGCCCCTATTTAATGTGGTCCTTAAAGTACTGGCAGGACTTTGCCTGCACACGCAAAAATGCCCACACAGTTGGCCTTTTCCAGTCTGGGAGAGGAGGGTCTGACTGTCATTTGAGACTTAGGTAAGCTCTCAGCTACTTCAATTTTTGCTCTTCTGACAGCTACACAGAGGATGTTTTCTTCTGCATCACAGCCATCTAGAGCAACCTTGGAGGAGCTGGAGGAAATGTATGTAATAACACACAGAACGGAGGACATGGCTAATTGGAGAGAACCAGGGTGTCATAAAAAACTTGAGGACCTTGAGGTTTGACGTAACAAGTGCTGTGAGTTGGGGAAAGAAGTCCTGCTATAAACTTGGGAGTGTGACAGAAACACGTGCTTCAGGGAGAAGGATTCAGATTTACACATTAGTCAAAGGGTCAGCTGGCAGTGTGACAGTGGCCATGCAGAAATGTCACACATCATGTAATACTTCATTAGGAGAGATTTGCAGTGTGTGTGCTGCTGCTGAAGTGATAATGTTGCTATAACACAGTGGGGCCAGGGAGAGCTCCAGTAGCATGCTGGGTGCAGTTGTGATCACCCACAGGAGAGTTGAGCTTGGACTTCTTTAAGCACAGTGGAGAAGTGTTAAATTTGATCAAGAGGGTAGAAGGGTATCATCCTAGATGAGAGTAGAAACAGTACGCTTGTAAAGTCTAACCAAACAAATGCTGAGAGGGGTTTTGATCATTGCCTTTAAATATACTTGGCCTGTAAACACCAAGGACAGAAAGTACAGTTTAAGCAAATGGCCAACACTGGCACCAGCACAAATGGATGCAAGCTGGGCTGTGAATAAATTGAGGCTGAAAATCAGAAGAAATTTCCATATTGTTGGAGCTGAGAGATTTTGGAACAGTTTTCTTTTAGGAATTAATAGGACAAAAAAGCCCTAAGGACACTTTAGGTGGGCACTCAGGTTATAAGAGGGACTGTTTCTGGTGTAGACTGCCCCAGGCATGGGCTTTGACTTGGCCCATACTAACTGTAATGTTGCTGTAGAAGCAAAACCAATAAACTGTTTTCTGTTTTTTTAACCCTGTGTAACAGCTCAAGGAAACATGTTCTGATGAGTGTGGTCTTTCTGATTGGTGACTGCTAGAGATAGTCTCCGAAGGACTTGTTTGTACCATTAAAATGAAGGAGTTTTGTATGTGTATAATCATTTATAAGATCAGTGCCTACAGCTGTTCTTTGAGTTACATTGTAGCCACATTCTTAAAGAATGTGTAATTTCTAATTTTTTGCAGTTCTTACAAGTAAATCCAAATTCTGCTCAAAGGATTCTGGTCTTTATCTGACTTAGAGCTGGGGTTACCAATCCAGAAACACCTGTTGAAATAGCATAAATCATTTTGTGAAGTATTCCGTACGAAGTGGTTTCCTTTCATTTTTATGGAGTTTGGTTTTTTGTCTTCTTTTACTGTTTTTATTCGTGTATTTTAATTTTAAAAATTACTACTGCAGATCTTGGGTTCCAACAGTTGTAATCCTCTGTGTGCAGAATTGTGGTTTGCTGCAGTAGGCTTTTTAAAATTATTTATGTTGATTATTGTTACTGATCTTGCGGTATCCTAGAAAATGCTCATATGAGCAGAAATAACTCACATGACTGAATCTGTACATGTACCAGACCCAAAAGTCTATTGAATAAGAAATTTAAAACCTCTGTAGAACTTTTATGTGAAGTGCATCATAGGAAGCCCGTGAAGTCATTACAGCTAGCTTAGGTGTTGACATGATGTGTGCATGCTTTGTATCTCATAGAATGATTAGGATATTAGGTAGTGCATTCAACATAGAAACATAGAAAAGTGTTCTGAAGATGTGAGATCATCCAGTATGCAAATAAAGAGGAGAATATTTTCTGCTTTCTGAACAATGTATTTGACACCACACCCCACGCACCTGATACAGTGATTGGTACTAGAAGTCGAAACTGCCGGGCATGGTGTGCTAGGCTCTCTTCCCCTTCTCCACACCCCTTCCTCTTCACTTTTGTTGAGTAGGTTGGATGCACACTTACCATAATTTGAAAGATATTCAGAGCTTTCAGATCCTATCAATTTATTTTTGCTTTTTTGACTCTCTCTCTCTCTCACAAGTGTTTTTTCTTTTGCAACATTTTTACTTTTGTACAATTTCTTATTTCCTAGGGGGACTGTTTTTTCTGGGTAAAGTCTAGTTTGATATCTCAATTATATATCCAGTTTTCCATCAGTGAGAGCTTATTTACAATATCAATAAACTAAGGGACAAAGACTTTGTTCTTATGTATGAATTGACAGATTTCAGTCTCTGTTGTCTAAGGGTTTTGTAATGATTACTGAATGTTTCCAATTCAGGTATCAAGTGGTTTAATAGCACAGTGAATGCCTGTACCACTGTGTGTATGGTGAAGAGATATTGCTCTGTGACTCCATTCAAAACTGAATGTCAGCTGCCAAAGCATAAAAGTACTTACTGTTTAAAGTGAATGCTTGCTCCCATGTTGTGTTTCATCTGCATGTGCAGATGCAGTCCAGTGATGCTTGTAGTTGGGGTTTGATACTGCAGAGTGTCTCCTGTGAAATGAGAATAATTTTCCCTCTTAATAAGGACATAAATACAGGTCACTTAGTTGTTCTAAAGCTATTCTCATCATGCTAGAACAGATACATCAGATGAAAAAGACTAACAAGAGGCTGAAGGATACTTGTAGAAAAAAGACCTAGATTTGATGCTTTTACAGCCCTTTTAAACGTGAAAATATGTATACGTGATTAAGGTGAGAACTTATGAAAGAAAAAAAAAAAAGTATTTTTTCTTCCATTTTATTTATAGGTACTAAATGAAGCAGTGGGTGCACTGATGTATCACACTATCACTTTAACACGAGAAGACCTGGAGAAATTTAAAGCACTTCGAATAATCGTCCGAATTGGCAGTGGTTTTGATAATATTGACATCAAATCTGCTGGAGATTTAGGTATGACTATTAAAGACATTGTTTTACATCTTATACTTGCCTCCAGAAATCTGACAGCATCTAAGTCTTCGCATTAGTGTTTTCTGTATAATTTATACTAACATTGTACGTAAACTGTATAATTTTCTCATCAAAGTGTTTAAAAATCATTATAGAGATACTGGCATTAGTTAATTAAATGATAATATTAACAGCTTTGCGACAGGATGACAATCTGCCTGTTCAATATAAACCCAAGGAATAAGGCCATAATTTTTCATCTCTTTCTTCTTTACCCCAATTCTATATTTTAACTACTACTGCTGTAATCCAATCACAAAATATAATTCCATCAGCATGGCATACTATTTCTGTTTGAATAAAAAATGAGATCATTATCAACTGTCTGAGACTTATTTATGATGCATGAGATTTAGTACTAAACCACTCCATAAAATAGAAATACCAATCTTATAGGAGAATCAGTTGTTGCTGCTTCAGAATAAATTCAGATACTGGAACTATGAAGAGATGGTGCTTAGAGTTTCATTGCAAAAAAGCAACGGTCTGATTTATACTTTTCTTACTTTAGGTTAAACTATCTCTTACCTATAATCTACAGGTCAAACCACCACTCGGAATAAATGTCTACATTTTCTTAATTTCTTTTCTAAGATTAAGGTGACCAAATATGTTTCCCATTATGCTCTGGGAAGATCTTGGAAACATATATTTCAATGTGACAGTGCTTAGTCCTAGTAATAACCCCATTGATGTAGTGAGGAGCTGTAATAAGGTCTGTTTATCAGTAAATGACAGTAAAATAATCACTTGTTTCTAATTGTGGTGCAGTCTGCACAGCAGGCAGAGGCTAACAACTTCTTTGTGAGTTTCTATAAAGAACAGATCAGGTCTGAAAACAGGCAGGGCTGTGTTCCTACATATTGTAACTAGTGACACAATTAGGTGCATGCGTTGTGAGCCCCAGAAAACACATGTGTACGTAGAGATTGGCCTGGGGTAAAATCCTAGCTCAGAAGCCAAAACCTGGGTACAGATCAAAGGCCCTGACCAGTCAGGAGTCATGATTTGTGCAGAGAATCCCTCGAGAATCCCTGATAAGAGGAGAATTTTTGCAGGTTTGTTGGCTGTTGCTACAAGTCTCCACACTGGATTGTAACCCGATTTTATAATTTAAATGCATCCACATAATTCTTCAAGCTGGAATACAGCAGATTTGGGAAATTCTCATTCGTATGAAATGCTAAATGGCCATGTTTCTGATCATTCAGTTCCTATGTTGTGATTAGACTGAGTTACACAGTTAGGATCCATCCCACTTGTGCACTCCAGTGTTTATGAAATACAGTTGTCCACTCTGTCAAAAGCCAATAAATGCCAGAAGGTTTACAGTGTAAAATCTCTGATTTTAATAGTTAGGGTGAAATGGTTAGAATTAATACTAACTCACTGCTACTGGGACAAATGACTTTCTGTTTGTTGAACTAGTACAAATAATATGCATCTCAAGGAGGTAATTGCTCTTTGTAAAAACCTTTGATTCACTTTTGAAATATAGTGTAGAGTTAGACCGTGAAGTCTGGCATATTCCTGAATTTCCTTAATAACTTTTTGAATTATTTTTCATAGAGCTGGATTGTCGGGTTGTTTTGAGCTTTTCCTATTTAGAGTAGTATTTTCATGTTAGCACTTTTACTCTTCTTAAAATGCATGAAAACATATGTTTCTTGGATAAAATCTTTAAAATCTGGTCTGCTTTTTCTCCACTTTATTAATAGTTGGCTAGACAATATGTATAGGTTGTGAGTGTAGCTGGATGCAAGTGACGTGAGAGTCAAGGTGATGCCCGTTAACTCCTGCATTTGTCAGCGTCAAACCTGTGCCCAAGATCACTGGAAGCGGAGGGGAAAGGGGAAAGGGAATGCAGCATAGAAGCAATGGATGTGAGATGAGAGTGTGCTGGCTTTTCTTATGTGAAATGGCTCTTCTTCATATCCTTGCCTCTCTTTTGCTGCTTTTTGTGGTTCACCGTGTCTCTGCCTTTCAGAAATTAGCTGTTTTTAAAGTTGGGGGGAAATAGGGAAAAAATATTCCTACCGTTTAGGAGATAATTTATATGACTCTTGTTCCTCAAGTTTCCTAAGGAAGCCTATTAGGGAGGAAGGTATAAGGTGAGTTCAATTCCTTATTTATCTTCCCAAATATGTAATATAACTCTTTAAGCTCCTTTTAAAGCATTATTTTATTGATGCCAGCTATCAGGAGACAGACTTATTAAATTTGTTTTGCCATCTAAAACCTGCATTTTTGCTCTGTGAAAAAGATTTTTTTATGTGTGTATGTATAAACAAATGTAGCTGTTTAATATGATGCACTTAAAGGGATGTTGGTTTTTGGTCTTACACATTTCCCCCCACTCACACTTTTTTCCCATTTTTAAGAAATAGTGGCTTTGATACTACCATTGATGTTGGCAGGATGCCAAGATTAATATTCCAACAAATGATGTGGTTTTATCTTTTTGTAAGTCTAAGAGCAGTGACTCAGTAGACACTGTATCTCCGCAGCAGAGGAAAGAAAAATCAGTCTGCAGATTCCTTATCTTGGTTTTTACTGATCTAAAGAAAGCTGTAAAGAAGTACTGGGCAGCAGAATAAAGGCATTTGAATGTAAAACATAGATAAATATAGTATGAGCTTATTATTTGTCAAATTATTATTATTGAAGACAATGTTTTTTTCTTCCTTGCTTCATAAGATATACTGGTGTTAACCAAGGACTCATTGGATATTTATGTTAAAACCCAAAAAACTAGACAGTGAAAACAGTATTAGGGTGTATTTTGGGACAGAAACCACTTTTTTTTCTCTACCATGAAATTACCCTGTATACTGTTTGTGATCTCAGTCAGCAGAACTGAGACACAAACATTTGTGGGAGATGATGATTAGAGAGACAACATGTAGTAAATAGAAAGAATGAAGAGAGACAAGTCAAAAGTGACACAAAGTTTTTCAAGTAAACATTTTGCTTAACTGCTCTGTATTGAGTACTGGAAGGTAAAAAGCAGAATGGGATAACTTGCGTAGAATTACAATCACTTGTTGCCTGATCTGTTTTTGGAAGTAAAAAAGCAATATTGTGAGTCTTGAATCAATCCACCTTTCACAATTGTCTGTGGAAATCTGTAATGGTCTTTTAGCCGCTTGATGTTCTGCCCTTCTCAACTAGGAACTTTTCAGGTACTAGGAAAATAGTCTTAATTTTGCATTACCTTTACATACCATGCAGAAGCAGATTTTATACTTCTCTATTGACAATTGAATGGCTCATCTCTTTACTTTGAAGGACCAAGAAAGGAATTGGATTCTGTTTGTCATAATTCTAGAAACCCATGTACAACACCAAACAAATTGTCCCTCACTGTGTCATGATTACCCATACAAGAATTAGACATACTAATAGTCATGCTGTGAGGGCTTTATAAAAGTTGCTGTCATAAATTATTTTCTCTTTTTTGTGACTTGTATAGATAGCTTTTGGGAAGGTATCAGCTCAGTGGTGAAAAGCTAACTCACGCAATTAAATCTAAACAATGATCATTAATCGCGCTGTTGAGAGCAAGGCAGATTTCTCTTTGCTATTCAAAATGCCTAGCTCAGTGTGCATGTAAAACGCTTCCCAAGACTTGTGTTCTAAACTGACATCTTCAGTACTTTCCTTTTGTGGTTTCAGTGGTCCATTCACTGTTTGCCTTCATTTGCAAACACAATAAATAGTGATAAAAATCAGAAGAAAAACCTTTGCACGTATTTATCAGCTATTATGTCAAGTATTCTGTTTGCCATTACAGTCAGAAACTTTGTGTAAAACTGGTGTTGAAAAACCTGTGAATTTAAACATCATACTCCTGAATTGCTGTTAAACGTGAATAAGTAAGAACCATTTGGCAACTGGTATCCTTTCCCCCCATTCTTTGCAGGGATCGCAGTGTGTAATGTGCCAGCTGCTTCAGTAGAAGAAACAGCAGATTCTACCATGTGCCACATTCTGAACCTGTACAGGCGAACCACCTGGCTTCACCAGGCTTTGCGAGAAGGCACGAGAGTACAAAGCGTTGAACAGATTCGGGAAGTGGCTTCTGGAGCTGCCAGGATCAGAGGGGAGACCTTGGGCATTATTGGATTAGGTATGTTGGCTTGAGAGGTGGTTTAATTGCTCACCTTCCGTTGCTTTAAAAAAATTATGAAGATTTGGGCTATAAAAATGAAACGCTTAATTGACTCCTTTCCATGTCAAGCATTCTGTAAAATACCACTTCATTCCTGGTGTTTATAAGTCTCAAATGTTTTCCCCTTAGACATCATCATTTCCCTCAGAAAACTTTTTTTTTTTGCTGATATTCTCTTAATTCTTTGCATTTCTGTACATCTTTCTGTTGCCAAATTGCCTGGTGTCAGGTACAGCGGATGTAAGAGAAGGAGACACTATCACTTCTCTTTTCCAGGACAGGGATCCTGCTACTTCAGCCCGATGTCACATGTATATGTTGTGTTTCTTGTCTGTTGTCATATCTGGTTCTGTTTGTGCTTTTTCCCTTTTACTGTTTTTAACATATCTGAAAAATCTTTGCTGCAGTAACAGCCTGCAGAGCAGTTATTTCATGCATTTGGTTGAGGTGCTTCTGAAATTGTATTTCAGCTCAAATGAGAGGAAAAATATGTGCAAGAAAGTTTGAATTGTTTCCAGACTTAATAAAATCACCTACTTACCTCTCTGAATGGCCCTAAATGTGTTTCAGCATCTAGCAGATGGACAGGCTTGCTTGAGATGAATTAATTACTGTCTGTTACAGAAGTAGAGAAGAAAAACAAGCAAGTCAGTTCCTATATAAAAATTACTCAGTCATGTGCTTGTCTTATCAAAGATACGATAGATTGTGGATGTAATTGCTGTGGTATTCATCCAGAGGAATTAATAATATGATTTTGACAACAAGACATCATATTTAAATGACTGTTCCAGTTACGCATTGCTGTCAGATAACTCAAGCCATGCACTCTTGCTTCTGGAAGCTGAAAATAGCCTGGCATTACGTAATACTCATTTAAATGAGTATGCAACACACCAAAAACATCTTCACAGTCAAAGAATTGCCTTTAAAATATGACTTTCAAGAAGTTGTTCCTGAAGTTGCTTTCTCAAATCTCTACCCATGTAATTATGCACCTTATGTAAACACACAATGATTATTGCAGTCACAGTCACAGCATCTGTACGTAAATAGTAGACAATCACCTGCAGTGTTTTAAAAATGGAAACGCATACCTAGTTTTTGAAACTTAAGCCTTGATGTACATGCTATGTGCATATTTGCTGGAGATATCTGACCTGTTGGCATTGCATTTTTTGTATTGCATGAATTCCAGACTGAGATTAGAAAGAAATGTCACTTGTTATTGACTTCCTTAAGTGAATTTTGTGTGTGTTTGTTTTTGTTGTGAATTACTGAAAAGTATAGAGAAACAAATGGATAGTCAGATTGTCAATATGTGTGTAAAGCTACATAAAACACTAGTTTTTCTTTTTAGGTTTAAAAAGCAAGCCTTTTTTGTGCGTGGTATATTAAAAGGCTAGTAAAATCTGATTTTAAAGGCACACATTTGTTACAGTTATTAACCTGTCATTTTCTCTAGCCTTTTATTGTTCCCATTTCTTTTCCTACAATAGAATATTCACAGTTTCAAGGAAAATTAAGTTTTAAAGTCAGTTTTGAAAACTTCCACTGTTTCTTTTTGTGCATGTATGTGAATAGGCACAACATTTTGATTCTGACCTGTTCTAACAGACTCTTGTGTAGTTATGTATTAATGAAGAATAAAAGCGTAGTCTTAGAAGATACGGAAACAGGGCTGTACCAGACTTTACATTTGAGCACTTCAGGCACTTAGGCTGTAATATATGCTCTTTTCTATTACAGATCACTGCAAGAGGCTACCTGTCTCTAGTTTTAGACTAAAATGGGTATTTACAACCACCTGCAACAGACTGATGCCCTTAGGTTATGTTGCTCTACTAGTGGCCTCTTCCCACGTCTTTAGTTTTGCCTCAGTTTATTCTTTTATTATTGAGACATGTCAACGTCAGAAGTGATGAACCACTAAGAGGCTATGAAGTAAACGTATTGCGCAGAAAACGAACAATTCTCATCATCTGTTACTAAGTCCTCCTTTTCTCTAGTTCTGTGTAGTATTGCTGTTTCTGTCCTTTCTCATTAGTGTGTATCTGAGATTATCTCGCATCTCCACCACAGCTCTGCTTCTCTATTCTTGTCTTAAACTTGTGGTCTCTTAGCAATGGATTACTTAAATTTCTCACTTTGCTGCTGCAACAGCTAAGTCCAGACCTTCTTCACATCAGTTCCTGGGCTTTTCTCTTGTTTTGCCAAAGAGAAACACCCTAGCTCTTGCCTATCTCTGTGCTAGGGAATGACTACATCATATCCCTCCAAAGCTTCAGCTACTCACTTCCTTATCCACTGGTCTAGCCAAGTTTCATGACTCACTTGCCTTTTTCTTTCCGTCACCCACTGTCTTTTCTTTGCCTCCTCTCATGCATATTCCTGCTTTGACTCTTGGTCTGTCCTGCTTAATCTTATTACTCCGTGCTCCTCCTTTAAAGTTAACCCCTTCTCTCATCCTCTGCTTGCATTGAGCTGGAAGATAAGCTGAGACTCAACAGCATAATGCCTCCTTCATGTGCTTGTTGGATACCATCCGTCATTGTTTTGTTGTTTGGTTAGCCTCTGAGCTCCTTAGGGCAAAGCCTGTGTTTCTTTCTGTCTTTATGAAGTGCGTGATTCTTTGAGCCTTACATAAATAATAACACTACATCATTAAACAGCTGTCTTTGTCACTTTTAATCTTTGTTACTATCTAGTGTCCTATATTTCAAGTGATACATCACAAGTGTGGATAGTAAACCCTGCATTTAAAAAAAAAAAAAGGCGCTACCTTTTCACCTTATGTCTAGACGTATAGGGATTTTTTAAAAGAATATTTATGAGCAGGAGCATGTAAGTACTTGGATGAATAGATAGCTGGACCTGGTTCTGCTGTGATGATAATCTGACAGCAATGAAGGCAGTAAAGTCGCACTCCCTTCCCCTTCCTTCCCAGTTACAAATGATGATGACTAATAGCTAATGCATTTCCTCACTTAAGAGCAGTGAAATTCCTCCAAATACTTTTGTCTGCGCATCATAATGAATGTTGTCACTTAGTTTGTCTTTGCTCACCTGCCGTATTCTGTCAACAGTCCCATGGTGCTGACTAGATGTTGGCCAAAGAACTGATCTGATCTGCGTTATCAGTCAATATTAAGGCTTAAGAGTTGGGTGGTATTACCATGCAATAAAGGATGAGTCTTAGCAGTCCTGCTATCTCTCTCACAGTGCTCGGCAGGACATGTAACAAAATGGCACTCTCCACATTCTGGAGTTCTCAGAGAGTGAGGAAAAATTACCCAGGTCCTCCATTACTGTTACATAGGCAGGAGAGAGCTGCGAAGTGAAAGCACTTTTTCTTTCCATGGAAGTCTGCAGGCAGATCATCAACATTTCCACGGTGTCAAGGGCATGTTATAAAACTTTGTAATACCAGCACAGGACGTGCATTCTTTGCCCAAGGGCTGAGCAGGGGTCACTGACAACTGGAGCTCACTATACTGTCACACTCAAATCGGGTCATTGGTAAGGTCAAGGTCAGAGACACCTACAAACTGGGAAACTTGTGGGGAGTTGGGAGAGTTGCGGGGAGTGGATGGGTCAAACTGTTAACAGGAGAACCAGATGTTTTTGATAAGTCTCTCTTCACACTTCTGGTGCCACTGAAATGATGCATGGGCTTTGCTAGAGCTTTGTATAAATCTCTAATTTCTAAAATAGGCTTTTGTTGCTTTCTGCTTTTGTTGCAATTGTATGCAACATGCATTTTCTACATTCTTCCCACACTATAGACCAGGAAGTTCATTTAATATTTTGAACTTCAGAATTTGCCTTCCCTGGAAGCAGCTGTGAATATTCATAGCAATTGTATATGCTTTTAAGATAGAGTTGTCCTGAAGGTGGGATGCTTTGTGTGCTGTTCTGTTCTTGATGTTCTTGATGTGTTGAGGTAGCCACCGCGCCTTCCCTGGAAGCAGCTGTGAATATTCATAGCAATTGTATATGCTTTTAAGATAGAGTTGTCCTGAAGGTGGGATGCTTTGTGTGCTGTTCTGTTCTTGATGTGTTGAGGTAGGTTTTGAGCCACCGCCTCATGCCCAGAAGAGTCTTACACAATAGAAGTTTTTCAGGAAAGGAAAAAAATCATAGGTTCGTGGTTGTACTGTATTGTTGGACTGTAGTTTGAAAAGGAATTGGCAAATTACATATGTCCACCTATGTATTTATCTAACGACTAAGACTAAATGTGAATTGTGAATTGCAGGAAAGTTTTATCCCATAAAATAATTGTAATAGGACAATTCTGGCTAGAAGTACATGCATGTGGTTGCCAAGTGTTTCAGAAGCAAACTTTGCGCACATTAAAGAAGGCTTTGGTTTATTAGCCTGGTTGCAAGGAATGGAAAGTGCAGCTTTAACTGGAGAGTCTGTTGTAAGAGATTTCACTGTCATGAATCCCCTCAGTTATTAGTGTTGTAGAGTGTAAAAAAGAACAGATCACAACATGTTGCATGTGAAAATGAACGGAGCTGTAATTGTAGAGTGTAAAAAAAGAACAGATCACAGAATGTTGGATGTGAAAATGAATGGAGCTGCAGTAAAAGTGATACGCTTTGTTTAAAAAAAAAAATTGTTTGCAGTTGTGTGACTGATTCCTTGAGCTGTGAACATGCCAAAATTTGAAAATAATAGTGTTTGTGCTGAAAATTGTCTAATTAAACTTTATTAAAAAACAGCTTGAAAACCAAATAAATAACATGTATGCGAGTATTGAAATAAAAGTTTTTGAAGAGTATTTTAACTTGGTGTCCCCAAAGAAATCAGACAGCCCCCATCAGATTGACGTACTGTTTAATAGTCCAAGCACATCTGTCACTAAGCACTGCAGAATTGCCGTGTTCAGGTTAAATGATCAACAAAAAACCTTTCTTCCTTTGACTGGTTAAGTTTATTCAAAGAGAAACTGAAAAGCAGAGGGAAATCCCTTCCAGCACAATTGGAAAGAGATGGGATTTCCCTGTGTTAATTTGATGCTTTTTTTGAACAAACTCACATGTGACAAAAGGAAACTTGTTGACTTTTTTTTTTTAGAATGAGACATGATTATTATGGAGTGTCTAGTGATGCTTTTGAAATGTCTTTATCTAACACTTGTAATACTCCAATGTGAGTATGTAGTGTGTAGTCTTCTAACCTGAAAACTGTGTGTGTTCTCATTCTTCAAAATACCCTTTCTCAATAGATGTACTCACTCACTTTTTTTCCTCTGTGTTTTACTGATAGTGTGTCAGGGAAATGCACACCTCTTGATATGTGTGGCATGGAGTCATGCCCAAACGGCAATTTTAGGCACAACTCTGAAATACGACAGTAAGGAAAGTGGAACAGAGAAAAGATAAGGTCAATGTGAGTACCAAATGGTACCGCAGTCTTCTTAACTAGATGCCGTATGATGGACTGTATTTATTAATCATTTAGGTAGATGGATGCAAAATTTTTTAAAGCCTTAGATGACAGGATTGTTGTAGGCATTAGTTCAAAAAGGAGATTCCATGCATTGAGGATGGTTGAGCTTCAGATTAAACAAATTATCTTTTATTGCATCCATTTTTGAGGATTGATTTTATGGCTTTTTATTAAAACCAGCTGGTCCAACATGGATAAGAATAAGTCCTTGGCAGGATGTGTTCCCAAGCAGTAGTGTTTTACCATAAACAGTCGCAGCAGGCAAGCCCTTGTATTACACAGATTATTGCAGATTACATGACATCTTCGGCATTTCAGATCTCCAGTTGCAAAAGGTGCAAAGCTCCTGCTTTGTTTTGAACAAGGCCATGTGAAACAGCTCAGATGTAACATTTCTGATCTTAGTGATGATTTCAATTGTGATGGGAGCTTCCTCTTTTTTGTTGTCTTCCAGTTGCTGTACAAAACCCTATGGTTTGATATAAGTGTTTGCAATAGGAAGGAGGAGGCTACCTTACACCAGCTGCTTTGCATCTGTTCTCATTGCATGTTTATCTTGTTTTAGGACGTGTTGGGCAAGCAGTAGCACTACGTGCCAAAGCCTTTGGCTTCAGTGTGATTTTCTATGACCCATACCTCTCAGATGGCATGGAGCGTGCTCTGGGACTGCAGCGGGTGAGCACTTTGCAGGACCTGCTGTTCCACAGTGACTGTGTTACCCTGCACTGCAACTTGAATGAACACAATCATCATCTTATTAATGACTTCACCATAAAGCAGGTAATAATGTCTGTGGGCGCCCTCCGCACCAATGCTGGTTGCTGACACTGTATAGCATTTATTTATGTAAACAGGCAGATTCTCATTTGAAAGAAATGTCTTTCCCTTTTGCTGCTTTGAGATCAAACAGGTTTATTTATAACTGATTAGGAAATAGCTGGTGGTTTATGTATTGTTGCTTTTATTGCCTTTTTTGCTCAGTAACATTGCATTTGTGGAAATAATTTGCTCTTCTTAAGCTCAGATTTAATAAAGTTGCATTTATGTAAAAGGACTTTTTCTATGTCTTCTAGTAGCTACTTCCTTTACCTGTGCATTTTCAGGTAGCAATTCTGCCTTGCACTCTTGTTCCTCAGTTTGAGTTCTTTAGATGTGATTTAAGGATTATAACTAAATGGCTCCCCCCTGTGCTCAGTCCTGATGCTTGCAGAGCGCTTCATGGATGGATCGCGTTTACAGCATTGCATTATCTGGAAAAGTAATGTTTCTTGGAATTAGTACTAACCTCTCCCTAAAGTTTTAGGTAATATTAAAATAATTTCAAAATCTAGGTGTAGTAGCTGCTCTGTTATCGACTAATTTGATAGCAAGCTTTTTCATTAAATGTCTAGCTTCTGACGCTAATCTCAGTGTAGGTAACAGCCAGAATAAAATGTTGAGATGTAAGAATATAGCTAGTGTTCAGGAGAGAAACTCCAAGATATAATAGTTGATTTTGCTGTTCTTTATATATGTAGTGTTTGTGTGTGTTGATAACAACGACGGTAGCATTCTTTTGCAGTAAAATCATTGCTTGGCTTCTGAGAAAGAGTTTGCACCTATTATTCGTGAACTTCAGGAGAACTGAAGTATTTACTGAACGTGTCCCACAGTCATGTAGGATCGTGGCAGAAAACTGACAATATAACACACTTCTTGATTTGAGAGTTTAGGGATTTTGCAGATCCATCCCAACATGTAATCCAGGTTTGGGATTTAAAACTGTAAAAAATTAAGAAGTTTAAAATGCAAATCTCTAAGAGAACAGAGCTCTGTCACCCTGTCCTGAACATTCCTTTTTGTTGTGTGCTCAGGTACATTTAATGGCTATTACATGGTTAAATGTCTTTGCAAGCAGACGTCTAGACCCAAATAGAATCACACAGAATTCAGTGGGACTGTCTGGAGGCTTAGCAGTGGTTACTCATTATACAATGGACTATGAAATTTGGGCCAGTGTATCAAAGGAAGTTTTTGAGTGAAGGTGAATAAATGCCATGAGCTTTGGAGAGGGCTTGTTGCATTAATCGGAGAAACAAAATAAAAACTGAGTGATACCATCTGAAATGAAATGCATATAATAAAGTCTGTACTAGGAAGGATATCGTAAGCATTTATCTTGCTATTTGTTATCCTTCATGATTAAAGCAAAGATTAAAATGTTAGAAGATAGTTCTTGCTTTGGAAAAAAGTTTGGCTGAAGCAGTCTGTATTGTAACAGCTGATGTGAAAACCATAAAATTGTAACACCTCTCACTGCTTAGTTTGTGTAGAGCAGGTCTTCTGAATATGTATCAAAAAGAGCAGAATAGCTTTTTTAGGCTGACAGATGTTAGAGTTGACCTAAATTTTTTACAGCGTTGCATGTCACTGTTGTCCAATATTGCATGCTCATGTAATAACCATTTTTTAAAGAAAGTGCAGAGAAGTATGGTGCATCTCATTTCACTAAAGTCTCACCCTGAATTCTGTTTAGAATCTGAAATTACATAAACTTAAAATGTCTTTGAAAATTTGGTGTCAGTATTCTCTTTCAGTAGCTTTTCCCTTTAATTAGTCAGCATTCTGCATAACCATCGTGCATGGCCTTGTAGTCCCAGAGTAGTTCAGAGAGGTGTTTCAAACTTGTGTTCATTGAACCCATGGTAATCAAAGTGCTCTCAAGAGAAGCTGAGGTCATCTTTAGTGTTACAGATTTGAGAAAAAGACGCTGCAATTTAAACACAATATATATTTTAAAGCAGCTCTGCAGGTTTAGTGTAGGTGAATTTAACAGTCATCAGCAGTTCTAGTTGTGAAGCTCTTCCAAGCTTCCACCCATTGTTAAGGGTCATCTTGAGCTGCATCCACCCTTACAGTTTATCATGAGTCACATAATTCATTCCCACTAGAATGCATTTATGCAGCCATGTTTTGTTTGATTTGGACTTGTCTTAGTGCTAGCTTTAGAGTTTTGTAAATTGTCCTAAAATGAAAACTCAAGCAAGGTTATTAAGGTTGGACAGAAGATTTTAGCAGGGTTCACCTTCATTAAAATTTTCAAGTCCTTCAAAGGGCATATAACTACACTAGGCTATACTTAAAACTCAAATTATCTGTTTGCAAAAGCACAGAAATAGGAAGGGTGTATAAGCTCCCACAAGCCTATATGGCATGTCTGCACAGCATATGTGATTGTCACTTGGGTGACACTAGCCCTCCTGTGCTAGTTTTGATTGAGTTCTTACAGCTGATTTAAGTAGTGGAGATGCAGTGATAGTTCCCATCAGGAATGTCGTCTTGTTACTAGACCACCTTAAGATCATGCCACTATTTCTTTGTTGTTCTAATTCCCAATTACAGAAAACTTAAAGAAGTATCCCATAGTTCTGCTCCTATAAGTGGACTTTGGTTTTGTTACACAGACTGATAGACGATTCTCCTGTAAGCCCAAGAGTCTGCAAATGCAGAGAGGCAAGGCCACACTAAACTCAGTGACTTGGCCAGTAAAATGTGGTTGTGGGTTGTTTTTTTTTTTCCTTATAACCTCAATACAGGCATATGCATGTTAATTGTTTAATATTTCCTCTGATCTCATGTAAAAAAAATTCTCATAGATGACTTTCATCCAAACCTTCTTCTTGTTCATGACTTTGGTATTTCAAATCAGTCTTTCAGAGTAAGGATCCATTTACATAAGCTTTAGTTTGATGTGTAGGTTTCAGGTAGTTGACTTCGTGTCAACATGTTGGCATTTTCTTGTTCTTATGGTGAGAGATGGACTCGGTACAAAATGAGATTTTTATCATTCATTTTTACCATGGTTCCTGTTCTTTGTATGCTTACCTTCATGCATAGAAATGCTTCTGAAATCAGAAGCTGTGTTTGAGACATCTGGTAAAAGATGAGGTATTAGCATGGTTGGAAGCAGGATGTAGTAATTTATTTTTTTTCCGTACCATCTCTCTTATTTAAACCGCCACTTTGTTTTCATGTTGTGGATATATTACGGTGTAAATTCCTGTAGTTCTCCCCACACAGTGTCATCTACAATGCTAATCTGCACAATGCACAGCACAGCTTCTCTCCTGGGCACACAGCGTTCTCAACAAAATTCATTTTCATGCCTTTTAATTGAATAATATACGAATTCTTTAGACTTTTATTTGAAAAATCTCACAGGGAGGAGGAAGCTGAAGTAACAAAAATAAATAAAACATAGATCTACTGTGTTTTGGCAACTAAAGGGAAAAGTGTTTGAAAATCCAAAAGCATTGATTTTCCTGAAAAATTCATGTAGGCTTTTATTTGTGTTAAAGTTGAAAACCACAAAGTATGAATTTGTTTAAGAATGTGCTGTAGTTTCTGTCTCATGCAATTTCACAGTGAAATAAAAAGGCATAAAATGATCTGTCACTTTCATATGCACAGTTGTATCTTTTGATCATGTTACTGCACGATATCTGAAACAACGCTTCTATTAAAAGACACTACTTACAAGAAACAAAAACTTATTAAGTGCTGTGAAATAGCATTTTATGTTAGAAGCATCACATTTTGTGGTACTTTCCAATGGAAAGGGAAGACAACTGTTAACAGGTTAAACCAGCTGAATAGCCTTTGTTGTAATGGATGCTTCTTTGGAGTAAAAAATAATGCCACAACGATTTTATTTCATTTATTTTTATTTCATCATTCTTGTTTTTAACTTTCCCTAGATGAGACAAGGGGCTTTCCTGGTCAACACAGCTCGAGGTGGGTTAGTAGACGAAAAAGCACTTGCACAGGCCCTGAAGGAAGGAAGGATACGAGGGGCAGCCTTAGATGTACATGAGTCAGAACCATTCAGGTGCTTTTCCTTTTCTTTTCTTTTTATTTTGTTCACTTTCTTATTTTTAAGTCTTAGTGCATGATACAATCAACAGCAACAACTAAATTGAGATTTCCCTTCATTTGGTAGCTAAATACTCCTTAGTAAAGCAACATGAATCTGTGCAGCACTGGACTAATGCAAATGTAGATGGAGCTTGTGTATGTGGTCAGAAGTGAAAAAAGTGACATCCAAGATTTAATTCCTTTAAAAAAAATTCCAATGGGTTTATTTAATAGAAATAGCAGAGACTTGGGTTCAAACCCTGGGCATGGCTTTGTGTCATGGCTTTGAGGGGAGTGCTCCTTTGTCATTGATGTGACTCTAGAGGCAACTAATGTTGACATCTGAACAGACTCTTTCAGAAGGCAAAGAGTTGAGAGATGGTGTGAGAATAACTGCTTTATGACACCGTTCTGGAGAAAAAGACATACTTTTGTCCAGGTTGCCTCTGCAGGAAAGCCATAAATGTAACGGGTTGCAAAGAAAGTTAAGATAAGGAAGGTGGTCAGAGCGCAGGTTTTGATTTGTTTTACCCTTTATTGGGGGAGTAGCAACTCTGCTGTTACTAGCAGAGCTGGTAGCACAAGCCTTCATTTTTGAATTGACACTGAGAAGTCCAGAATTTTAGGCAGAAAGATACCACTCCCCAAAGTGGCATTGGTATTACGATATTAGCACTCCTAATCAGAAATGAGCCTATTTGATATGTCTGTGAGTCTTGAGTCTGACTTCTGAGTTAGTTATGAGAACAGACTGCTGTAGCTTCGTGCTTGTACGTGACAAGCCTTTTTCAGTTGTTCAGTCTGGGCAGGGAGAAATGTTAATTTTAACTGGAACAATCCACATAAGTTTTTGAAGAGGAACAGATTCAGGACTTGATGGCAGGTTGTAAAGACTGGAGAGAGGATGATCTCTCTCGTATCAGCTTGGGGAGGAGAATAGAAGCTTTAAAAATAGAGAATAGTATCCTTTTAGGTAGAATTTTTATATCTACTGAGACACAATGCCACATCACAAATATTTGATTTTATTTATGCATACCCTGCATTCATTTACCTCTAAATGTAGTCATTACAATGCAGTAGTGCTGTGCAAAGCCAGAGTCTTAACAGCTCAAGGGACTTTCAGCTACATACATTCTTCCCAATTCAGATCTCAGTTCTGCACAAGCAGACCGTTGCACCTATAGGGAGCCCCATTTACTGCATGGAGATGCCATCTGCAGAGATTCAGTTGCAGGATTAAAGCCACAGTTTCTTTTGGCGTCAGTGCTGTGTGTCTATCTGATCGCAGCATGCAACTCTTTATTCAAGAGTTTTGCCAGATACTCTGATGTTTATTGAACGACAGATGAAATCTATCATTTTATGAATTATTACCAACTCTGAAAGCATGCTTTTGTCTTAAAATATTTGTTCTCCTGTTGTTACAATTGACTGTAAGATTATTAAAACTGGAAATAAATAGGAGGAGCAAGTTTCCGTTATTTTCAGTTTCTTTAGTCTGTATCTGTGATAGCACTTTTACACAGATTCATTGCTTTCCCTGAAAATCAATCTGTAAAGTAAATTTCCTTCTTTCTGTGGAGTTTCTATAAAAGAACAGGAAAAAAATAGTTAAAAAAAACCAGAAGAAAAACACTGAATTGTCAAAAAAAAAGTTTAGACTGCTGATGAACATGCTTCTTATTTGGAAATAATTGTAAGATTTTTTTCTTTAAATGACTAAATGTCACAATGACAGTGACTGTTGGGAGAACAGAGCTTTGTTGGCTAATGCAGTGAAAATAAAACTGTGATGAGATGGACAAATGGAATGACATCCTGAATTGATTTGGGTCTTGCTTTATGCATTTCTGCACCAGAACTGGAGTGGCAGTGGCTGTAGTTAGCAATAAGTGCATTGGACAGAAGCTAATGTTGCTACTATTCTTAGGTTATACCCTTTGAGTCCATGAGATGTGATTGTTGCTTATTTATACCATGAACTGTGTATTGAATTAACTGACAGAATTAAAAACAAATCCAACAAGGAATAGAAATGCAGTTCTTTTCTGTTGTAGAAATTAATCTGTGTATGTACAAATCTATCTGGATCCTCCCCTTCTC